TGGAGGGGCTAGAGAGGGAGACGAGGAAGGAGGAAGGGGAAAGCCAGAGGGAGAGCTGCAGGGAATTTGCGGGGCGGATGAGGGAAGGGGAGGCACTAGAGGGACGGGGCGGGGCCGAGGAAGGCGGTGGCTCTGAGCCCAGCCCAAGACCCCACCCCTGACTCTGGATGCTGAACCCCGAGGCCGCGACGCCGATCCTGACTCAAGCTGTCAGGCCCCGAGATCAGCCCAGGGCCCAGAACCCCAGATCGCAGATGCTGCACGATAGCTAGAGATTGGACATGAGGTTCTGAACCAGACCCTAGATTCTGAACGCCAGACGTCAGACTGGGACCCCAGAATCAGGTACTAAACCCTCGCCCCAGTCTCCAGCCCCCCTGAATCCCGCACCTGGGACTTCAAGCCCAGATCCCAGACTAGGGATCCTAAATGCTGGGCCACAGACCCCGGTTTCTGAACGCCAGATATTCAGACTTGGATCTTCAGATTCTAGATCCCACTTCCTGGACCCCAGACTAAATCCCAGTCCATTGCCTCAGCCCCAGACCTACTTGACCTGCCGGCACAGAGCGGGGAAACAGGCTGTGTGAAGTCGCTGCTGAAAACCTGGAGAGTGGAGAGCTGTCTGTGCATTATTCAAGAGTCAACAGATGGCCACATGAAAGCTAGCACTCTGGGAGGCTGAAGCAGGAGGATCTCAAGTTCCAGCCCTGCCTGAGCAATTTAGTGGGTGTTTCAAAATAAAAAATAAAAAAGGCTGGGGAGCTCAGTGCAAAGACCCTGGGTTCAATGCCCAGTACTGCAAAATAAAATACATCCAGATCATACTGGCAATATCTACAGAGTCAAAAATAACTCCAAGTTGGAAAATAAGATATAGCAGCTCTCAGAGTGACTGTGAGCAGCTCCCTAACTGACGGGTCCAGGAATAAGATGGCCACCCATCCTGAGATTACAGACGGGAGGGGGAGGACAGGGCGCATAACCCCCAAACACCCCATGGTGGAAGGTGAGTGTGACGGTCACCCCTGCTCCGCCTTGATCATTCCCTGCCTGCAAGCTGCGCTCCAGGCTTCCGGTTCTAGGAGCTCATAGATGTCCTAACTGTGCCAATCAAGCTGAGTCAGGCTTTCTGTTACATGCGGCCAAAGGCGTCACTCAGAAGGCCTGTCCTGGTGGCTACCTTGAAGCACCTCCCATTGGTGTCTTGGTTCTTGCACCCCTTATAATAGTAGTATTATAACGCCTGGTGCTGCGTGGGTATTTATATAAAGATTGCCTGACGAGGAGTTTCTGTGACCTGCTAGCAGAGAATACACCAGGGCCAGACAGAGCTGTGCTGGAGCAGGCGGGGAGCCAGGAATTCACTGGGAACGGGAGGGGAAGGAGCTCTCTGGATATATGTATGAGTTTCCTGTTTTGTTTTGTTTTTTAGGAGGCTGATGCAGGAGGATCACTGCAAGTTTAAGGCCAGCCTGGGCTACATAGGGAGACCCTGTCTCAAAAAGACAAAAAACAAACAAATAAAAAGTCAATTTTGGGCTGGAGATTTAGCTCAGCGGCAAAGTGCTTGCCTGGCAAGCTCAAGGTCGTGAGTTCAATTCCTGGTACCGGAAGAAAAGACAAAAAAAAAAAAAAAAAAGTCAATTTTGCTATTTGAAGGAACATTCATAGGTTTGGGGATTCAGATACTGACATTTGTGGGGACCGTTATTCCACCCAGTACAGAGAGGACAGGATGTTCTGGAAACCAGAGATTTCAGTTGCACAGCTCGGCAAATCTATGCTGAACATATGTATGGACCAGTGATGATTTTACTTTCAAAGAAGAAAATGTAGCCCGTAGCTACGTGGCCTACTGCTTTTTGAAAAGATTTGATCAGTGGGATTGGTAAAAAGGGTTTTTTTTTTTCTTCTTCCATCTTCTGCTGGGATGTGTATTTTGTGTTGTTTAAAAGATATTTTAAGTAACTTAACCTGATTTATGTCCTCACCAAATGTTCCTGTTTCCCTTCACTTTTATCCTTTTTTCTGAATAACTATTTGCTTTTTTTATTTTTTAGGGTGATTATTTAAGAAAGACAGAAAAAAATAGACATGTGCAATAGATTTCCAGGTGAAAGTTAGTGGTTTTTTATTTTTATTTTTTTCCTTTTGGTGCTGGGGATGGAGCCCAGGGCCTCACACATCCTAGGCAAGGACTCACCGCAGAGCCACATCCCCCAACCCACTTAGTGACTTTTATTTTCTGGTTTGTTTGTTTGTGACAGGGTCTCGCTATGTAGCCCAGGCTGGCCTTGAACTCTCTTTGATCCTCCTGCCTCAGCCTCCCAAGTGCTACTCATCCTCCCAAGGGGATGACAGGCGTGCGCCATCACGCCCTGCCTGTAGATTTTTTAAAGGGTCTTTTTCAGGCTCTTCCCGAGGGCTCCTGTACGAACTGACCCATCCCTGTGTGCGCAGCAGTGGCCTCTAGAGGGCGCGCGTTACCAAGCTGCTCCATGGAGTTGCAATTCATTCCTACAGATTTTTCAATTTGTACCAAATCATCCCTGGCCCAAAGATTGGGACGTCATTTCCATTTCCGCCTTCTCCCGCCTCCCCCGCCTCTGACTCAGGCACCCTAGGGCTGTCACCTAGGAATATCATTCACACCAGATATGCCTAACATTGAAGGAAAAAAATGAGAGAGTCATCAATAAATTTAGGGGAGCCCGATGTGTGGCTCATGCCTGTAATCTCAGTGCTCAGGAGGCTGAGGCAGGAAGATCACCACAAGTCCAATGCCAGCCCGAAGTACATAATTTGGCTGGGGATATAGCTCAGCGGCGCAAGTGCCTGCCTGGAAAGCACAAGGTCCTGAGTTTGATTCCCAGTACAAAAAAAAAAAAAAAAAAAAAAGAAGTGCATACTTGAGTTCAAGGCCAGTTTGCACTACATAGCAAGACCCTGTTTTAAAAAAACAAAAAAAGCCAGGTATGGTGGTGCATGCCTGTAATCCCAGCACTTGGGAGGCTCAGGGAGGAGGATTGCTCTGAGTTCAAGGCCAGTCTGGGCTACATAGTGAATTCAAGACCAGTTTGAATTACAAATTGAGAGATGAGACACTGTCTCAAAAAAAAAAAATTAGGAGGAGCCAGTGGAAGGAGATCAGGTTATACACTTCAAAATATGCTATCTTGCCATAAAACTGATTTTGAGAGTCAGGTGTGGTGGTGCACACCTGTAATCCCAGGCTGAGGCAGGAGGATCATTGAAAGTTAGAGACCAGCCTGGGCTACAAAGTGAGCTCAAGTCCAGCCTGAACATAGCAAGACCCTGCCTCAAAAAGACAAAAAAAAAAAAAAAAGTCTTATTTTGAGCTGAAGAAACTTTTATCTGCCTGAAAGCTGAACCTCTAAAAAGAATTCAGGTATCATAAATCTTCTACTCTCCGCTTCTCAGAGACAAGGAGTCAGGACCACAGCCAGAGCCGGTCAGGACACCATCACAGCCCGCACTTCTCTGCTCAGGGCCTACTTACCTTGGCGATAAATCATTCACTTTCTCACAGGAGGCCTTTTTCTCCTCCCTCACCTCTATCAACCTGATCCCACCATTCCTGCAGCTCCTTGCTTCTTTCCTATACATGAAAAATAAAAATCAGGTCAGGATTGGAGATCCACACCTGTCATCCCAGCACTCAGGAGGCTGAGGCAAGAGGATCACAAGGAATTCAAGGCCAGTCTGAACTACTTAGCAAGATCCTGTCTCAGATAATAAAAAAAAAAAAAAGAAGCTATTATTATTATTATTATTACTTTGTTTTTTTGAGACAGGGTCTGGCTATGCAGACTAGGCTGGCCTTGAACTCGTGACACTCCCCCTACCTCAGCCTCCCTAGTGCTGGATGACAGGCGTGTGCCTCCATGCCCGGTTTAGTTCATTTATCCTGTGGTACTCACTCAGACTGTGACATTTGCCTCGGCACAGCCTGGATATTCCCTCATGAGGAAAAGAGAGTTTCCACCATCATTCACAGCCCAGGCCCTGTTAAATCATGTATAAGGCGTGGCTGGCAGTGGAGAAGAAGGGAGGTGCGTGAGGCTGAGACGGACTAGGAGTCTGCAGTCCTTGGGGGAATCCTTCATCCCGGCTGTGGTGCCTCCAGTGTGTAGGGTCAGGAGTGCGTGTCCCTGCATGTGTGGTGCTCCTGGCAGATGATAATGGCCGGTCTGGTCCAAGATGATCATGGTACCTCTAAACACAGCCACCAGACACCTCCAGAGCTCAGGCGGGATGGAGTATCCTGCACCTCCTATAGGACTTTTGGCACATACCTGAAACCCCAGCATTCTGGAGGCTGAGGCAGGAGGATTGCAATTTCAAGGCCACCCTAAGTGCATTAGTGAGATTCTGTCTCAAACAGAGAACGAGAAAGAAACTCCCTATGTATCCCAGGCTGCCTTGAACTCAATGCACTCCTCCTGCTTCAGCTTCCTAAGTGTTGAAAATACAGGAAAACGTCACCATGCCTGGCCCTCAGAATTTTTAAAAGTAATAATAAGGACTAGCCAGGGA